GCAGTAGTTTGCACAGGACTACAGAACTTGGGTAGGTGTTTGACCTATGCATCAGGACACTGGGTAAAAATGTATTACTTCATTCTGAATTTGAAATCAATAAAGGATGTAAGACAGTGAGAGATCAGACTGCACTAGCCTCTTCTGTGATGACTGAATAGGTAGTCTTTAGGAGTTTATTGTTTAATAAAATTTCAGCCACAAAAATCTAATACTTGGCATTTGTCCTTACCAGCACCTGCTGCATGCAAGTTTTGAAAAGGAGCTTACCTGTGCAGTAATATCCCAGCCATCTTCCAAACAAACCATAACCGAGGAACCATTCTCAAGGAGTTCTGAGATGATCACACTTAATTGCATTATCCTGTGAAGCTACATAATATTAAACATAAGTAACATGTTGGAGCTCAGGATAAATCTCTTGATATTACTGACCAACATAGTGATTTTATAATTAATAAGTATTTAAAATTCCTATCTTATGAAATGTATGAATAATGTGCAATTTCGTGCAATTGTATGACACGTGCAAACAATGCAGAATAGTTGGTTAGTAGCACTGTGACAGAGTCTGAAATCACCATACACCAACGTGTCAAGGTTTTCAGATGAGTTTTACTATAACTAAATCAAAACTAAGACAGGAGAACTTAGACTGAATCACTGATTCTCCTTATATTTTGTGATAAAATAGGTGCTGTACAAATATTTAGTGATTTAAAGGAAAATGGGAGGAGCTCATACGTTGTTAGTGCAAAAGCTAGTTTCAGAGTTGGTGTGTGCAGAGCTCCGCTGTCTCTCTCAATGGTGTTGCCTTACAGTATGTAGACATATCAACAGAGGATAATTTACTGTAGATTGAGCGCATAAGTTATGTGGGCCTTACACATTTTCCCACAAGAAACCCCCCATTCCATAATGTCACTAAATACATTAGAATTGTTGAATGGGAAAACATCATATAGGAGATTTATAGAGAACATTTCTATGGTTTAAACACTTCAGAGTTTGACATTAATTCACTGGAAAGTATTTTAGACATTTCCAAATGGATTTTAAAAATCTTTATAAGACTGGGCTCTGTTCCTCTTTTTCTTATTAACAAGCTTATGTTGGTTTATCAATAACTTATTTATCACAGTAAAGTGTTACATTCCATGACTAAAAAGAGTCTCTCTGTGTTCTGTTTCTATCATTTTTTTATTAGTCTTAGTATTCCAAGATGTATGTAAAACACGCTTGTGTAAACTGCATTTATGTACATAGTTCTGTACTAGTTTTGTTTTTAGCAGTAGGATGGAACCCACTGGGTATATCTACATGTGCATATTAATGCACTGCAACAAACTCCAGTGCTTATTGCACCAGAGTTTATTGCTCCAAGGTGTGTGTGTGCCCAGGATTGCAGCGCATTGAATTGGATCAGAGCAGCCCCAGTTGGCAGGAGGCCCTGGGGGTAACTCTGCCAGCCTGGGGCTGCTCCCTGTGGCTCAACAGGGCTGCTCGGTGCATAAGGATGTTTCAGTGCAAGGCTAGCCAGCAGGCAGCCCCTGCACTGAAGCACCCTTGTGCCCTAGTCAGCCAGGGGAGTGCCTACACATGTGCTGCTGCGGAGTTTTTTACTCTACTTGTAAACACAAGTACTATCCTGTGGCAGAGTAAATTAGTTTATTCCAGCCTAACAGAGGGCACATGCAGACGTACAGCATTTACCATGTTGCTAATTAGTCTACTGCTCAGTAAACTTCTCATGTAGACGTGCCTACTGTGTGTGTTAATGGACCTGACCCAACCTAGCACAGGTTAGGATTAGCCAAAGGAATCCTAAAAGCTTGGAAGAGTGGAATGAAAAAGTAGTAGAGAACAGTACAGGAAAGAATAATATGAAATAATATGGAAAAAGATGCACTTAAGGTCTTGGATCTAGGAAGAAGAGAGACAGGGCTCAGGGAGAACAGAGTGAAGGTAGAGAAAGAAAATGTAAGAGAAAAAGAATCACCCCTAGTGCCCTTCTAACAATGACCTCATTTTAGAACAGGGATATACAGCATGTGGGCCAGATTTGGCCCATGGAAGCCTATCATCTGACACACAGTGGTGTCTGTGGGTCTCTCACTTGTGCATCACATGCAGCATGTGCTGGCCTTGGCCCTATACACTGAATGCAGCACATGGAGTCCATCTGGTGCAGACAGCACATGGCATGGAGCCAACCTGGGGTGCATGCTGCTGGTATGGGGCCAGTATGGATTCAGCCCATAGACCAGATCCATGTGCTGGATCCAGCAGGCATAGCTGGTCCGACATGGGCCCCACATACTGCATGTAGTGCACACTCACAATTGCCTTGTGTCACATGAGGCAGGGGTGGTGTATGCTGCACCCACACCAGCCCAGTGCTGTGGGATGGATCTGGGATGTAGCCTGGTCTATGAACTGGATGAATCTGACACCCCTGCTTTAGAACATTTGCTCTTCTTTAAACTCATCTAAATCTACTTTGCTGTTATCACAAGATGAAAAGAGGAAAATACTTAAAATATTACTACAGAAAAAGTAAAAACATATTAATTTTCATTATGAAGATAATCAAATGCTTAACTTCTTTTAGCATTCACATAATCATTACTCATTTAGAAAACAATAGTAACATATCACTCTGAAATTGTAATAGGTCAAAGCTGAACGGCTTGCATTACAGCAAGCAGCAAGGAGGTGAAACATTGTTTTTGCTGGCAGGAAGCCCATGTTGTTTGAGGAAAAAAAAAGCCACTTCACTGCAAGGTGAATGTATGAAATCAAGTTAAATGAATGCACAACAATAATTTAAATTTCACAATTTGAAACTTAGGTATATTAGTTAAAAAGTGCAATACACTGCAATTTTTCCTAATAAAGAAAAGTTCAACTTTTACAAATAGTATTAAAATCCACACTGCATAATTTATCTCTTTACAGGGAGGTCCAGTCCAAAACAAATTGTCAGGATAAAAGACCAAAGTCTCTCATATCCACAACCTCAGTGGGAAATTAAATGTAAACTCACCCCCTCATTACAGGTATCCCACAATGTACCAGGTAATTGCGCAATCACCTAGAGACCAGCTACATGTGTAAACTAGCTATCACACAATAAAGGCTCCAACCAGCTATAAAGTTAAGATCTCAGAAATGTGTACTAACTTTTCGGCTAGCTGCTATCAAGCTTTAATTTGTATGTGCAGCAGGGAGCCGCATTAGCTGACAAGGCTCCCAGGTGCAGAGGTGTGGTATGTCCAGCCAAGGCTGGTAGTCTTGCAACTGTAGGGACTCTCAGCCCCAGATGCTGCCACTCTGGGTCCTGGCAGCACTGGCATGGGGACCCATAGTCTCACAGGAGCGGATGCTGGGTGCCAGGAGGTGCAGCTGCCCTGGGGTGCACGAAACCCCCATGATTGGGGGATCACAGCTGCTGCGATCCCCCAGCTCTGGGGGTGTGTGGAGTGATCTTGTGGCTGGGAGCCCCTAAACTGAAGGGGTTTCCAGCCATGGAAGCTTGCTTCTTGCTGGGCTCCCCTTGCAATAAGGCATGATGACATCTAATGTGTGATCCCACAATCCCACTACCTGCCATGCATGTATGGAATAGCAGGAGGTGCAATGGTGTGGATCATGTATTAGATCCCAACATGCCGTTATCTGCATGTGTAGAGGGGGTCCTTAGTACTGCATCAGGACTAAAGAGAGACTAATACTAATCATGCTTTAATTTGATTAAAACTTGCGTGCATGTGTGGGGGTTGGGAAAGAGAGGGGCATATTTGCACATAATTTGCCTTCAAACATCCTCATACACGTTTTGCCATGTTTGACTCATCATATGTCATAGATAAATTACTGTTTCTGTTAAATACCAGCGTAGAAAAATGCAACATAGTACATATTAGTAAGATGCAAAGAATGTTACTTTTTTGTTCTACATTATTATATTTGTGCATTTTAAAGGAAACACAAGCTGTGCATTCAAGCCATAAATCAAAACAGTTAGAAAAAAGGAAAATAGGAACCTGTATTTTTGTGTTTTATTCCACATTATGAGGAGCAATGAATTATGCTATCTAGTTGTCAAATATGTCTCCTATAAGTAAATCCTAACACTGTATTAAAATAACAGTGTGTGCATAATATATAACTGATTTCAAGCAATATAATTACAATGAAGAAAGAAAAGGATTTTCTGGTCAGGATAACGCATTAATTTCTGTCAGAACATATCAGAATTTATACTGTGTAAACAGAACTGCATATAGATTTTTTTAAGCATCTGTCATATAAATTACCTGTGGAAACCACTCTGAATCCCCCAGAGCTTTAAGGAATGTTACTTCAGTATCTGTAGGAATGGTGCTGGGAATACAAGCCCTCATCAGCTTTTTAAAACTGGCTTTCGTCTGTCGGATGTCACTAAACTCAACAGGAACAAATTCACAATTTAAAGCAAAATCAAGTTTGAAGCCCTGTGGGGGGAGAAGATGATGACGTTATTCAGCAGAGAAGCGTATTTTTTATCAGGAATTTCAATATGAGCAAGAGTGTTTTATTGCTAAGAATTTTCAAATGTATTTTCATATTCTATCCATTTAAAATCCTGTCTGGTACAAGATGATTCTTACAACACTTAAGAAAGGTACAAAAACGTAATGTCTCCCAGAGAGTCCCCATCTACACAGAGAGCTGGTTTAAGGCAGACATTCTTTTCTTTCTTTCTTTCTATCAACATTTGAACCCCCTTCCTGGATCTGTTGCTGCTAACAACCAAATAACCACACAAGTCAAACGACCCCACCTCACCTTGCTGGGGTTGTTTGACCCCAGTACTCTTTCCTGCCATGGCAGGGGGTCGGACTAGATGATCTGCTCAGGTCCCTTCCAACCCTAGAAACTATGAAACTAAGTGCAAATACCAAATTAATCTGAATACCGGTTATCAAACCAATCAAATGTAATACCAATTACCTCTTAGAATCTTATTAACCAATTATATTTTACTTTCTGTTTAACCCTAACTATAAAATAAAATCTAAAAAATATAAATATTAATTAAAATTTAAAATAATGTATTAAAATGTAAAAATAATATAAAATCAGAATAGAAACTATTTTGCAGGAAATTCAAAATTCTGATTTCTGCTTCTAGTTCAGAATGAGGCTTTTTATGGAATGAAAACGAAGTTTCAATAGCATTTTATAGAAAATGTTTACATATTTTAATGGTTACGCTGCTTATTTTTGTCCTCCTTTTACTTCTGTATCATAATCTTTGTAAAGTGCAAACAAAAACATGATTAAAAAAATCCTTGGAACTTCTAGGCTTATACTAGCAAGCTGGCAGACCTTTATTTTGGCAGGGGTTTTATTTTGCATTCATTAAAACACTAAAAATAAACTCTGGTGTATTATTTGGGGAATTGTTTTATTTTTATTATACCTTTTTAGCTCACTGCTAGCTGCCCCAGCAGCAGATTGGAGCATGGGGCTAGGACCTACCCCACCCCTGCAGCTCTCTTCAAGCCCCATACCTCAATCACCCAATCGGGGCACAGGGTTGGGACCTGCTCCTGACCAGGTCAGTTCCCAGCCCCTGCCCTGCATGTGGGACGGAGGCTGGGGAGCCTGTTTCCCACTCAGTTCCATAAGCATAGAGCTGGGTGGGGAAGAGGCTGGGGAACAAGCTGAGGAGCTTGTTCCCTGCTCAGCTCCACGAACGTGCAGCTGGGTGGGGAAGAGGAGCTTGTTCCCTGCTCTCCTCTGCAAGCACACTCCCCAGCTCCGCAAGCTCTCTAGCACTCGTGGAGCTGAATGGGAAACAAGTTATCCAGCCTGTTCCCTACCCAGCTGCGCATTTGTAGAGCTGAGCAGGGAATAAGCTGCCCAGTCTGTTCCCCGCTCAGCTCCACACTTGTGGAGCTGGGCGAAGAACAGGCTCCCCAGCCCCTGCCAGCAGGGAACTTCCAGCACCAGTTCTGCACCATGGGGCTGGCAATGGGAGACCCTTATCCCCCAGCACCATATACACAGTCATGAGGCTCAGGCTGGGAGATCCTTATCTTCCAGTACCAGCTCCGTGGTCAAGGGGCTCAGGCTGGGAGACCCTTATCTTTTGCCCCAGCTCCGCAGTTGTGCAACTGGGAAATAAGGGTCTCCCAGCACTGGCCCCAAGGTTGCAGAGCTGGCGCTGGGAGCTAAGTATCTCCCAGCTCCAGCCCTGCAACCTCAGAGCTGACACTGGGAGATAAGAATCTCCCAGCCCCCTGCTCCCCAATAGTGATGGCAGAGTGGGGGCTGGGAGATAAGGACCTCCCAGCCCTTGCTCCCTGATTGCAATCTTGGACCAGGGGGTTTGGAGCTCCGTGCTGCCAGGGCAGGGGGACATAGTCCTTGCCTGGGCTCTAGTGGAAGAGTCTGCTCTGGCCAGTGATGCTCAAGCTTTTGCCTGTGTGGACCAGCCAAGTGCCAGTGGGATGGTCTGGAGGCTAGAACAAGCTCTCAGTGTCCTAGACAGCTACCTTCCTACCCAAAGTGTCAGGATAAGGCCTGGGGCCCAGAACGGCACCCACGTGTTGGGATTCACCTTGGGGGTGGGCCTATCTGCACACCCTCTCACCACTGCATGAAAGGATCGGACTTTGGGAACCTTGACATCCTTGTATGCCAGGACTGGGTCACCAGGGACCTGGAACTGTCTCTGCCCAACCTTGTACACTGGGATTGGGTACCCTATCCAGTGTGTCTCCACAGGTCCTTGGGGATCTCTGCAGGCTGGATGACACGACACTGCAGGATGGGAGTGGAAAGCTGTCCTATACTGTTCCAACATTACTGGGTGCCTCACATTTCTGGCGATCACAAAAAAACCTTTCTACTTTCTCATGACAAACTTTCTGAAAGAATTGGGAAATCAAATTAACCCAGAATTGTACAGATCCCTGAATTTAACTATCTTGAAATAGAATGAGTAAATAAATACGTTACTTTTCCTTTATATCTGTTTTATTTTGAATTTTAGAATTCCCAAATACTGTAAATTGTTATTTAAAGTATAAACAACAATTAAAATGTGCACTGCCTTATGACAAATATGTTTGATTACCTCATCTCATGGTGTGATGTACTGCCATAAATAGTATTATAGCATATACTGCATTCCAAATCAAAAGACAACAGAAGTCTGAAGGCATGTCTGCATTGCAAACACTATTAACAATCCTTATAAAAGTTTATATGCTAACATGAGTTACCTACCTGCTTTTTCTAGAGCATTCTTCTGTTATTTAAGGAAAAAAAAAATGTTACCAAGTGCAACCAAATAAAAACTCTTTTAAATTATAGGGAAGAGAGATGTTACCCTTAATTGAGATTTTTCTCCAAATATGTAGAGGGCAGCTTGACGTTTCAGGAGCTGGTTTTGCAAAAAGTTGCTGTTACTGTAGGCAGCTGGGTTATCTTTCCCTGCCAGTCTTGCCCCAACATCTAGGAATGGTGTCTGAGTGCTGATAAACCGGTTGCTAGAACGAAGACTTGCCCAGACACCTTCATAAAAAATAAAAATATTATAAAACAATATCTTTCATGAAACTGAGATACTGCAGAACACAAAGCATGCACACACAAATAAACTCTGAAAGTAAGGTGTGCATGACATTTGCAGTTTTCACAGGATGCAACAAAAAATCATGCACTGGAAAGAAATAATTAGAAAATATTATTCCACAATGCTAATATAGTAATCATCTCCCAAACTGTGTTACTGTAGTATAGCTGAATGTAGGATACTAATTCCAATCCAGTTCAACATTATATATTCTACACACTACTTAAACACATTACATTCTACTAATACTGATTACTATCAAATCAATAACATGCTACAAAGATGAATAACAATTTGAAATAATAAATGTGCATTCTATAGAAATGAAAATGCTAAGTGCTCTTTTCAGCAGTAGGGACATAAGTTCTATAGAGTTCCTTGCCTCATGGCCTATTATTTTAGAGGCTTACCTAGTAGGAATAGCCCTGCTATTACAGAAGCATCTCCTTCAATAACTGAGAGACTATTTAAAATACAGTTTGTTATAAGCAGGGGCTTCCTGAAATCGCGATTTCATGGATTTTGCAAAATCTGGCATTGCCCATGAAATCCACAGGGAAAAAACAGAAAAACTTACTGAAAATAAAAGGCTGGCTCTTCAAAGAGAGCCACCAGGTCTCAGGGCACTGCAGAAGCCTACCAGGGCAAGGAAGTGGGGGCCAGCAAGATGGCTGCCATGCTGGCCCCTCACTGTGGGGGTTGAAGCTGCATTCACAGAGAGATGGACTAAGTAACTTGACAGCTCTTTTATCTTAATTCAGACAAGTTTGCGTCTTGTTTAACCAAGGAAAGGTTTCTGGATTAATGACTAGTGATTTTGCATTAGTGAATTTCTGCACAGCCAATGTATCTTCTTAAGGTGCCTGATTTTGAAAGATGAACGCTCAATATTTTCTAGAAATCAAAGCTTGCACAGGTATTTCAAGTAAGGTGTTCAATAAATTGGTGAAATTCTTCTTTGTCTAAAATTCTGTTTTAAGTCAGACTAGAGAAGACCATAATAATCCCTCCTTGCTTATAAATCTAAGAATGACATCCACAACTTGAGGCACCAAAAATCTCTACTTGAGAATGTTTTTCCTCTATGGTATAAAAACGGGGAAAACAGATTTATTCAAACTCAATACTTGCTGAGATTTCATGTATAAATGATAAAAACTGCTGATAATGCTGAATCAGGTACAGGATTTTAGCACAGAATTTCTATCCAAGCAATAGCACTGTAGCTCTTGCCTATCTGTACAGCAGAGACTGTCTGCTTTTTAAAGGGGTGTATTTAAAATCTGGAGCTCACTCTGCAGTCACCTGTAACAATGTAAGAATACGCTATGCAAAACTGTGTTGAATCACTGTCATTTCCATATATATTCACTGTCAAAACTATTAGTTAATACAGAGTTAAGGTTATCTAATGCATAGCATGAAGCAATAGCTCTTGCCTATCTGTACAGCAGAGCCTGCTTGTTTGGCTTACAGCTTTAGATGTAAACAAACAGGTAGGATAAATGAGAAGGTTTGTTAGAAACAAGGCTGGTGATAGATCAACTCTTTAAACAACTCCTCCAAAGAAAGCCAGTTGTCTAAAGTACCTCACTTACAAAAACATTACCTTTAATATTAGCTTTTCTTCCATATCTGAAGCCATAACAGAAGTTGTATTACAACATTTTTTTTGCACATCATGTACCTCCAAAAAAGAAGACATGCACTTGTTTTGGGAAGGCAGAATGAAAAAAAAAAGATTTTTCGAGCCATGACTGAGTTCTGACCCTGTGATATCAGCTAATGCTACACTATTAACAGTTTTACATCCACTACTGAATCAGCAGGAGCTTTTGACAATGGCTGTGAAAGGGTCAACACTAGCTCTGAACCTGAACAGTGAACTCTGCCAGTACAAGTCTCCATGTTTCCTCCATTCTGGCACAGAAAATCAGTTACTCTGCTTATGATCTGCATGCCAATATGGAGGGCTAGGGGGATGGGAAAGGGTATATGTGGTATGTGGCTAAATATGTGATTAAGATTCATAGCAGGCATGTAACGATTTATAAATTGTTATTCATTTTGTGAATGAAAGGAGGAAATTCCAGTAAAGACGACCAAATACTAGGAAAAAATAAGGGGAGATATCAGTCCTATTTTGTAACTCTCAAAAGCATGCTGTCATCATGGCTTGTGGCAAAACAAGCAAAAGCAAAGAGCCAATTACAAACAGTTGCAGACTAATACATTTACCAGTTACCGATAACAGCAATTAAAGGTGGTTTCTTTCTGTTCTATCTGGTGTTTAATTTTTGCAGTTTTATTTTGCGGTGGAATTTTGGAAAATATGGCTTCTTTTATACACATTATGTTTCTGTGCGTTTCTAGCTGAGCAAGAAGTCGTTACTTCTCTGTTCACCAGCAGTATCAGTGACGATGTCAAGAAAGTCCAGACTGTATAACATTTCTTAGTTACTCTGCTAGACATCAGAAATAGTGATGAATATTGTTTTGGGAAATGATTTTTGGTTTCTAAAATTTTAACAAAGATGAACAAATTTAAAGGGGTGTATTTAAAATCTGGAGCTCACTCTGCAGTCACCTGTAACAATGTAAGAATACGCTATGCAAAACTATGTTGAATCACTGTCATTTCCATATACATTCACTGTCAAAACCATTAGTTAATACAGAGTTAAGGTTATCTAATGCATAGCATGAAATAAAACATTAAACCAACTATGGAGATGGTAGAATAGAATATTGCTTTCAGGACACAGAATACAGTACCTTGATGGACTCTTGCCTTAGCTGCTGATTTGGAATGTGAATGAGTGATACACTTATCTCTGTACCCAAGCACTGGTAGATAACAGTAAAGACAGAAGAGGGAGGAATGGAATGGACATTGCAGCGAGACAGTCATAGCAAATTGAACAGGAGAGAAGAAAAGGGTTACTGTCAATTTCCACAGATCTAGAATTATACCAGAACAAATTTGACAGTACTTAATTTAACAGACAGCACATTTCCTAGTCATGACAAGACAATATGTCAATCAAGCCAAAAAAAACTAAGGTAAAATGGTAAGGAAGTACTTATTACTAAAGAGAATGATTTTTGGGGACCCTGCAATAATTCTAAACATGCAGCACAGCTAAATAGATGTGTTATTATGTATTTATTATATCAAATGGAAACAGCCATTCAATCACATTGCTAGACACCTCATTGTCTGTGTGTGTAATGTCCTGTGTGTGTAATGACTAATAAAAATAAAGAAAAGGAAGAGGGGAACCAAGGTTAGAATACTGAGTTTATTTTACAACAATTCTGCATAATCTGATTATTAAATGGATGCTAAAGCAGCTGGCTTGTTTACTGTGATAAAATGGCTCACTGACTATAAATGTATATCAATTCTTATGTATTTACTTTTTGGGTAATATTGAAATACGAAGGAGAGAGAGAGAGAGACAAAAAATATTTGCAACATTTACTATAGAGTCTTTTGAGAGTTGCATGCATATTTCAGTGATTCTAGCTTTAATCTTCTACTTTCTAAAATAAACGTATTGATGATTAACATCTTAAAAATACCACTACTTTTAGGCTGCCTGCCTAAGGTCTGTTTTTCTGTCTGATCAAAAATCTCTTGCATCTTACATTCTCTGTTCCAGATATTGCACTAAAAGTTGCAGCATTGTGAAGCATTGTTAAACTAACCATGAGAGGGCATAAAACCTAACAGAACCAAAATTAAATATTAGCAGTAATGGGAGTTCTTCAGGTTTAGAAGTTGGATATAAATGGTATCATCTTAGGGTTTCTTTCAAGAGCACAGTGTCCTACTACTGAATGTGGATGGTCCAGTGTTTACCCACTTTGTATGGAGTTCCTCCTCCCCCTCCTCCCCTTGCCCCGCAACTCCCCTTCACTTCAACTCCTTATCTTCCCTCTTTAATCAGAACGGTGCCATCATCTGATATATTGTATTTATCCGAATCCAAGATGACTTCGAACTTAAGATAACCCTGATAATTAGATTCTAGAAATGAAAAATGAAAATTGGTTATACTTTTTCCATGTTTAAAATCTAAGTTTTGGAGGGTCATCTTAAATTTGTCCTCACCATCCACCACCGCTGCAGTGGGGTAAGCTGCTGTGCTGGCAGCAGCTTCAGCCCCGGCCCTAGTGTTGAGGCCACAGCTGCCACTGCTGCTGTGTGGTCAGGCTGGGGCCAAAGCCGTCACATGCTCTGTGCTCCCTGCTCCTGGCCAGAGCAAGGCCCCCAACCAGTGCTGGAGCTGTAACAGGAAGGTAAGCAGTGGTGGTGGAGGGAGGGGAAGAAGCACCAGGAAGCACAGGTTGTGGGCAGCAGGTGGGGGACAGGGGAGAGTGGGCAGTAGCTGCAGCTCTGACCTCAACCACGGCCTTAACTATAGCCACAGCTGGTCCCCTCTGTTTCACGTGTACTTGAATACAAGAAAAGTTGCTTTCCCTCCCCATGTTGAATGGGGGAAAAACCCCCGCATCTTGGATTTAAGTAAATATGGAATTTATCAGATACTTCTGCATATCAGCAGGATTCTCACAACTGCATCTTCCAAGCATATGGAGTTGCTGTAGTTAAGACAGCCTCTCTCCCTCCTTTCTCACTGCTCCCTTTTAACTAGTAAGCAGAAATAACTGAGAAACATGACCCAGGTCTCCCTACCCAAATTGTACCCATTTACCGATATCCGAGACAAAGGGATCATGCATCTTTAGTCTTATTCCTAAAAATGAATTTTAAGGTGCTCAATGCAGTGCTTTTTTCAACTTGTACTATTTAAAATTGCAGTAAGTGGCTCATAATTGAAGAGCAAAAGTAAGTTGCATTTCACTGCAGATATCCTCACCACCCCCTCCCCTCCCACAAGAAAAAACCTTTGTCTTTATTTTTGTTGATGCTACAGTGACCCACCATTAGTACTTGAAAACAGCTTTGCTTGAGGAGTGCACCATAGTTAGTGTCCCAGTTCTGTTTCTTCATCTCCCTTTCACCAAGAACTTGCAGCCATATTTTAAAGTAGTTATTTTTCTTCTTCCCAGGGCATGTCAGCTACCCACAGTCAATACCCAGGCATGCAAAACTCAAAAGTAACAACTTATTAAGATTTATTAATAAATGATTTATTTATTTTGTTTTAAATAGAGCTTTCTGCACACTGACCTCTCTCCTTCATGTATACATTCCACAAAGTAAAAATGGCAGCTAAAATTAACTTCAATCACTTCACCACTCAGTGGCCCACTGTAATGCCTATCTATTAGTTCCTCAGCATGTGGGCATTTAATTTCCACGGAGTAAAATTATTCAGATGAATCCACGTGTATGTTTAGATGTTATTGCAGAAATTTTACTAAACAATGGATCGATCTACAATGTGGATATTCTAAGACATTATTTAGCCACAACTCTAATGCAAAATGAACATGCTTGGATGCTAATAATATCCTGTTAAAAATTAATGAATGAACATTTAATTTAACTACTATACGAGAGGTGTTTTAAAGTCATGTATGGCTGATGAACTAAGAGTCTCTAATATGTATCTTATTATTTTATAATGGAATTAATTGACATGTAGACTAATTCTTATTTCACTACTAACATTATAGTATATCTCTTATTTCAGATAACAGTAATGCTTAGTCTTTAGCTAGTCTTACTAACCTCCTCGAGCAAAGCTATTGGATAGATTTACATCCAAGTGTCCTGGCACTACCTGCTTAAACACAGTGGACATTCTTGAAGCCCTCCTTTCAGTGCCTAAAGTCAGTCAAAAAGAATATAAGATTAAAAAACTACAATATCATTCAGACTAACACATTACTCAAATGAAAAAATGCTTTCTTTTCATGTATAATGCTTCTAATTGCTGCCAATTAAGAAAAAGAAACAACATATATACATTTGCAACATTACAAAGGGTTAGGAATAGCTAGTGCCATCAACGTATATAATGACAAATGAAGCAAAGCATGCACAGTTGGGGATGATGTTACTTTACAAGAAAAGCTGTCATTTAGGTGTTCCAGGCCAGTTCCACCAACTGATTAAGCCAAGAAGACGAACTTTTAAACCACATGCTCCTGTTTCTAACACATCAGGGTTACCTTTACGTGAACCCTATACCAGGTTTCATCACATGATAACTGAAATAGAATAGTGATGATTTTCTTAATGATTTAACTCAGACATAGCTAAAATAGCATGTATTACAAGAATTGTTAATTTATTTACAAAAAAACCCTACATCTGGAATAAGAATGAAACTTATTATAAGGAAGCAAAACACAAGAAAATAACTACTACTTATGCACCCTCAGTTACCATTGCAGCTGAATACTTTATATGCAATTCCTTCACAAATTTTCACATAACTTTAAATAATGTTTCTTATCCTCTTTTATTTGAAGTAAAACTGTATTTAATATGCTTGCTATAAAAGAGTAAAACATTTATCAGTGATAATAGTGACATCTATATAATACAAATACAATTGTAACTACTGCATTTACGGCATGGCACTTTTTTGCTTTAGGAAAAATATTTGGAAATATAAATTGTAATGTTTGGATGCTACCTAACTACCTGATGGGTGGTTCCAAAGAGGATGGAGCTAGACTTTTTCCAGTGGTGGCAGATCACAAAACAAGGAGCAATGGTCTCAAGTTGTAATAAGGGAAGTTTAAGTTGGATATTAGCAAAAACTCTCTCACTAGGAGTTTGGGTTACCTAGAGAGGTGAAATCTCCATCCTTGGAGGTTTTTAAGGCCTGGCCTGACAAAGCCCTGGCTAGAATGATTTAGTTGAGGGTGGTCCTGCTTTGCACAGGCAGTTGAACTAGATGACCTCCTGAGGTCATCCATAGATGGCTTCCTGAGGTCTTCATAATTTTCTATGATTTTATGATTTATGGCTTTTTTCTCAGCAACTGCCCTTCATCATAAATACATAATTTATTGGCAAAAATAGTAAAAAAAAAAAAAAGAATGTAAAAAACTACAAGGTTGATCTATAATTTTGGCCAGAGAAAAAAGTCTTTTGGATACACATTTATCTTTTCATGTTCTTAACACTTTGAAATATTATCTGCAAAAAAAATGAAGTGAACAAGATGCCTGGAGGGTGTAGCACTCTTCTGAATAACAGAATTCTGATTAGGTAATCTAACACATACACACTCAGAGTGATTTCACTTTTCCTCTTAGTTATAGAAACATATACAGTACACTACAATTTTACCTGGCGACAGAGCAATTGCTGGTCTTACAGTTAAAGTATTACTGCCATTCATTTTGTAATGGACGGAAATTGCATTCAATAAGGCTTGTAGGTATTTCTCTTGTTCTATACTGCTTGAAGATTCTAAAGAGGCAGGAGCTAAATGAATATAGAAAAATACAAAACAGATAAATAATGCTATATTTACTAGTATGTTTATGATCCAAGCAGCATAGGTAACTAAAGCGTAAAAGATCCGACTGTGAATGAGAATAGTGAGTGAACTTTGCATTCTTCTGTTACTTACATCAACTATTTAGCTTCATTTGCATATGTTTCAATCTAGGAAAAAAAATCAGTGGTTTAAAAAGGAAGTAAATTGTTCAGTGGTCATTATAAAAAATGCCTGATTATCAATGGTCACCAGAAAAGTGAGATACTATAGTTTTCCACTACCTTCAGAATGAGAAATAATACAGCAACTTTGTGGCACCTGTTTGCAAAATTCAACATTTAAAAAAAGTTAGTACTGAATATATAGAAAAATTTATTTACCATATACAATTTAAAAACTCAAACAGAATGGTTATTTGCCTGACAGGTTCAAATTCTTTGAGATGTGTTGCCTGCACAGATTCCACAATTGATATTCATGCATCCTATGTATACTTTTTGATGAGCTGTTTACATTGTGGCCATGCCTATATTCCTTGTAGACAAGGGCATAAAGTACAGAGTACTTCACTCACCACTCAAGTTCCTTCAGCAATAGGAATCTCATACAATAGGACTCGGAGTCACTAGAAAAGGAGGAAAGCTTGTGGACCTTGTGTGGACAGAACTACAGTTACCATAATGTTCTCTCTTAGTGACTTTGGAGGTGGAAAGAGAAATTCTGTTTCAATTCTGAATTGTATGATAGCCCATTAAAATAAGGATCTAATGTGGAAGCTGAACTAAAGACTACATGTGTACCAAACTCCATGTTACAGCTCTGGGTACCTCATTTACTTCAGGGTATGAACAAGTGTCTGCTGCATTTAGTTTAGGTTTAGGTAGCTTGCTTCAAGCCACGTAAACCTAAACCAGGTGTGGCACATGGAGATGTTTGCCACTGCCAGGAGTGGCATGGGCAGCTGAGGTAAGTAACTTAGGGTGGGATGGGGTGGGGAGAAAGGGGCTGGTGGGATCAGGTTGGGGGGGGGGCAGGAGTAGTTGAGGGGCCAAAAATAGGCTGGTCAGGTCAGGGGAGTAGGAACTGCACAACTTGCTGTCCTGGGGCAAGTGCCTGGGTTTTCAGGAAAGAGTGGGGAGGCCATTATCTTGACATTAGGGAGTATCTACCTAAAGTCAGGCCCACTGCACCCAGGACCTCTAAAAATCAAGCATGTAGCTGGAAGCCTCAGCTGCACATCCACCTTTTTAAGTTCCTGGAACACCCATAAAAGCAGGAGCTAGCTCCCCGCTCCCATGCTGCAGGTGCCACTTTCTGGTGAAGGCCATGGGTAGCTGGGGAGGCAGGAGCCCCCAGATCCCCAGCTGGCCATGCCCTGCATGGTGCACAAAAAGTTTTAAAGAATGCAACTGTAGGTAGGCTGCAGCTGTGCTTTTTAAAACTCCTCAGGGACTTGGACCTGGAGAGACTCCCTGCTCTCTGGCTCCTGGCACCTAGGGAACTTTAAAGAGTATGCTTCCCCTGCTGCAGACTTTAAGCCCCACACCCGCCAGCTCTGGATGGCCTGTTGCATGTGGCAGATGACAGGCTCCTGGCAGAGTTTAAAGTCCCCAGAGAGGGAAGCCCTTCAACCACCCCCCACCCCACTGCACTGGGAACCTCCGATCCACTACACCCAGTAGCCTGGCCAGAGTTGCTGGGCGCAGGGTTTTGCCAGTCAGCTGATTGTCAGTCTGGCCTGGACAGCCCCAGTATCCAATCATACTGGAGGCTGTCTGAACCAGGACTGACCATCACCTGATTGTTGGCCCAAGCAGTCCTTTTTATGAGCCAGAGCTCCTCCTGCACTGGCATGTAGTAATTGTGTAACGGATCTGATCCCCAATCCCAACAAAGACGCCTCTTGCCATGCATGTGTGGCATGGTAGGAGGTACAATTGTTGGGATCATGGATAAGATTCCATTGCACAATAAAATAAATGTGCCAGGAACTATAGTGAGAAAACATCTTCAATTTGGCCCTGTATGACTGTCTGATTGAAGGGTTTCTGCTTTATACTAATATATTGTGAATCTCAGCAGAAGTTTTTTCTCCATAAACGTCATCAAGCCAGCATCCAGACTGTTAGATGCCAAGGTTCTGGGTGAGGGTAGAATCACTAACTCAGAGTGTAACGATTGCAGTCAGAAAGAAATGGTGAGGTGGTTTCTGCACTGACGGGTTTACTAGACTGGAGTACCAAATCTGCCTGGCCCATGCTAAAAATATTATGATGATGTAACCTACAGCCTGCCTTCACTTCTTTAAACTTCTGGGTTTCGTGGGTATTGGTGGCTGTAAATAGAATTACTTCTGAAACCTTTTGCAGCAGATAGCTGTAGATTTGAATGACCATCTGTGGTTCTCAGATACATCAGTCGGCAATATAGTTATGAAGACCAGGGAGGTGTTTGCTATCTTAAAGACCCACTAGAATCCAAAGTTATCTCAGTTTAGTGTCTTGGGAAGTAGGACACATGGTTGCCAAAGTAATTCGATGATAACTACTCCAAATCTCTCAACAAGTAATTCTGGTACCAATCCTACAGGGATGTCACCATATAGCTAGTACCTGGACATTAGTGTCAGATGGGACTTGATGTGAAGCTCATTGCCAATGTCAACACTGTACAATTAGTAGCAGACAAAGTGCATTCTTTAGTCTGCTTAGGAAACATCTGGGCCAGCTATAATTTCAGCATGGAGGTAGCAGTGGTAGGCTTTTGGTAGGAGTACAAGGAAAGGATTTCTGACTTGACTGTACAAAACTGATACATGCTCCAATTCTGGAAGTGGTGCTCCTTACTGAACATTTCATAAGGGGAAGCTGAATGAATATGACTTGTAACAAGCACCATGAATACTTGGAGTGATGGACTGGTTCAGCACTGCATTGATTTTTCCCTCCTAGAAGAAGAGTTGACACAGAGCAGAGTTCTAGAACATGGCCCTCTCCTAAGTAATTCAGACACCACCCATGCACATCATTATCTTGGATTGTTCCACCATAAGAAGGGTAAGTTGTAAAACATAGTTATTTGATGTCAGCCATTTAAAAAGTACTGAACAGAAAAACAAGAATCTCAGAATGAGTACATAGGGTAAAGGAAGCTTATCAATAAACTGTCTATTAAAAAAAACAAAAAACAACAAACAGGAAATAAAAACCTACACAAGAACTGCCCCAGCTACAAATAATTAACAATATGGCTAGGGACAGATATTTAGAAAGCCCGAACCTGAATTGATTCAATCTTTGCAGGTTAGTCTAGAAAGATAGAACAGCTTTGCAAGTGCAGGCACATGCCTGCAGTGGCTCCAGCTAGAGGCCCAGGGTATTAGAGCAGCCCTCCCTTCCCTTTCACAGGGAAGCTGAGCTGAGCTGAGTGAGGGGGAGGGGGTGGCCAGCCCTGGGCATGCCTGAGTACGACAGAGGAAAGGTTTAAACCCCCACCTTGGCCTGCAGGGTTTGAAGGGTGTGAGAAGAGGGAGTGTAGCCAGACCCCTGTGGCTGGGGGTGGGGAGGAGGAGGAGGAGAGGAGCACTTTGCCTACCCCAGCAGCTCGTTACTGCCAGGAGCAATTCAGGCACACAGTACTCCCTGGACTCAGAAGGAGACTCTTCCCCCTCCTCCCTCTCCCCCATAGCCAAGGGGTGGGGAGTGGGGCTCTGTGTGATGCTGGAGGGGGGTCTGTGCAGAGCTGCCCGGCCTTGCAGGGAGACTCTTCCTCCTGCTCCTCCCCCCCGTGGGGTGGAGAGGGGGGCTCTGTTTGATGCTGGAGGAAGACTCTTCCCCCCACTCTGCCACCGCAGGGTGGGGGCTCTGTGCAGGGCTGCCTGGCATGACCCAGTCTTCCAGGGGATGGCCCCACTCTTGCAGCCTGGCCCTGCCATGCAGCTGCCTTGGCCAGGACTCGGCTGGGCTGGGCAGGGCTGTAGGGCTGGGGACACCCCCAGGGGCTGCGGCTCAGTGGCAGGCACTCTCCGTGGCCAGGCTAGGATGGGCCAGGCCTAGCTGGGAAGTACTGCACAGTGCCCCGCCCCTCCCGGCCCCCTGCAGCACCAAACAGAGCCTCCTTCCCAGCCCCCTGGTGGTGGGGGGTGGAGGGGGAAGAGTTGCCCTCTGGGGCCAGGCAGTCCTGCACAGAGCCTCCATCCCCACCCTGCGGCGGGGGGGAGGGGGCAGGGAGAAGTGGGGGTGCTCCACCTCAGCTGCAGTCCCCCTGGTGGGAAGGGGGAAATTAACCCCCTCCCTGCCCCCTTAGCCTTAATGGGGCCATGCAGAGACAGCTGTGGTCCCTGCCATTGAGACAGGGAAGGGAGGTGGGGAATAAACTTCTTCCTGGGCAGTCTGACAGAGGCTTCTGCCCTTTCCCATCCCCTCGCTACTCCAGCGCTCGGACTTGGCCAGATGCCATCCTGGCAAGGCCCCATTAAGGTGAAGGGGGCAGGGACAGGGTTAATTCCTTCATCTGTCCCTTCTCCCCCGGGAACCACAGCTGGGGTCTGTCAGCCCTGACCACCCCCTCTGCCGCTCTCTGGCAGGCAGGCAGACCCCAGCTGCCATGAGGGGGAGGAGAAGGAGGGAAGAATTAACCCCCTCCCTGTCCACTTTGCTTTAATGGGGCCATGCCAGCCAGTGTCTTACCATGTCCCCACCCATGCTCAGGTTAGAGAGCAGAGGGGCAGGGCCAGCCCTGCTGCGCTGGACAGCTCAGCCCAGAGAGCATGCTGGGATGCTGGGGGACTCTGATTTAACTTAAAGCAGGAAGGGAACTGGGTCAGACATTGCATAAACTGATTTGGGCTCAATCAGTTAAGCCTGATACTACATTCAACCAGGTTTATCTCAAATTGGTTTTGGCCATTTTGAAACTGGTTATTGTGAACTGAACTTATGTTCTGTTACAGGTTTAAACCAGTTTCTGATCTCTTAAACTGGTTTATGTGTAATGCCTGTCCCTAGCCTATTAGTGTGGACAGCTGAAACACTTGTACCGGTGATATACACACTGCCATACTATAAAATGATATAGTTGCTTGTGTGTCCAAGCCCTAGCATTTGAGTTGCTCAAAGATTCAGGCACTCCAGGAATTTTATCTTTTACATCCCTGTGTGATGAGAAGACATGCACAGTGAAACCACCTTACCCTTTATGCCCCAAGTCTGAGGAACGAGAAAGGACTGAGGGAACTGAAGTAGTTATAAGAATGAAAGACATCCAGATTCATGCACAAGAGACATACCAGATGCGTAATCAGCAGGGATCCTGGTTTTCCCTGATAAAAAAAAATCACAAATTCTCTGATAAAACCCCCAAATCTGTGATTAAAATGAAAGGCCCCTCACTACCTGCCTCACAGCCTCCTGGCCCTGCTGGCACTTTCACTCCCCTCAACAGCCTTCCTGGCCCTGCTGGTGCCCCTCATTCCCCCCACCACAGCCTTGCTGGTGCCCCTCACTCCCCACCTCCCACAGCTCTCCCAGCCTTGCTGGTACCCCTTGACCCACCCCCCCAACCCCTGACCCCACTCCCCTGCAGCTCTGCTGGAGGGGGCCCCCATCTGCCAGGGCTATGGGGCCAGGGACCCAGGTCCACAGCCCCCTGCCCCTGGCAGGAGGAGGTGGCTGCTGCAGCATAGTACAGCCTGGTTCCCACACCTGCTGCTGGCTTGGGTGGGGGGTCTGGCTCCCTGCTGTGGGCGCATGCACTCCTGGAGGATGGGGAAACCTGTGCCCCTGTGATTTGTGAGTGGGGTGGGGGCAGGGCAGGCTGTGAGCTTAGGGTCCTGCCCTGCTGCCCTCCCCTGGGGCCTCCACAGCCCAGCCGGTGTGACTCAGTGCTGCAAAGAACAGTGGGACTGTGCAGGAAAGCTGCTTGTTGCTGAGAGCCCTGCGCTGTCCTGGCAACACATCCCCTGTGTATGCAGCACCAACTGGGGACAGAACCCTGTGCCACCACCTCTGCTGCTGCTGCATGTGCAGGGGACATGTTGCTAGGGCAGAGCAGGGCTTGCAGCAGTGAGCAGCTTTCCTGCATGACCCTGCTCTGCTCTGCAGTGCTGGGTCACATCCACTGGTCTGCAGAAGTCCCAGGGGAGGGTAGCAGGGCAGAAGCCTGAGCCCACATTGGGCAACCTACTCCGGCCCCACGCACAGATCTGGGAGGTATGGGCTCCCCCCCAACCCTCCTGGAGTGCACACAGAGGTGGGGAGCTGGCCCCTCTCCCCTGTTCCCTGGATGAGCTATCCGCAGCTCCCTCTCACTCCCTACTGGGGCCCTTCAGCTGCACGTTGCAGCCCTGGGCTCCAAGCCCCACATACTGCCCGGCTGGACAGCAGTCCCAGCCCTTCCCAACTCCCCCCTACCCAAAATTTACCTGCGGGAGCTGCTTTCCAGGCTGCATGGCAGCCATGTGCATGTATATGCACATGACACCCCCTGCCTGAGCACCCTCCTCCTGCTCTCTCTCAGCTCTTTGCAAGCTGGAATTCTGCCAGCCTGCAGAGAGGTCTTTGCAAAACTGCAAAATCTGTGGGGTTCTCTGGTAAAATGAGAAATCTGGGTTTTCCTCACGCAAAGGGGAAAATCTGTGGTTTTCTCCATTTTTCTGTGGAAAACAGAGAACCTGGATCCCTGGTAATCAGTGTGGCAGTTACCTGAAGAACAATTCTTTTCCCCTTCACACTTATTTTGCTTCCTCCTGTGATTCTGCCTCTAATGATACATTTTATTCCATAATTTGTATTGCTTTAACAGACTGATAGTATAAAAGAAATGAAGATATTATCAAATGTAGACAAGAAAGAACAAGACAAGACTAGCAAAAATATTTCTATTTATTGCTTGCAAGAAATTTTCCTCAGTTTTGCGATTTATGGGGGAAAAATCTGTAGTATGTTTAAAGAAAGTTAATATGTGTATGAAAATACTAACAAGCTTTGTTCTTGTACTCTTTCATATTTGCTAGATGCAGGAGATACTTAAGCAAATATCTGAGTCCAAAAGAACGGCAAATCTAAGGGTGCTAAGGATTTGAAAGCTATGGAGAGAGGGGATTCAGCCATTTTTTTGTAAGCAGGGAGGAAGTGTAACGGTAGATGACAGTCAGAAAAGGAAGCTTCAATACAGCCTAAAGGGCACTGTTGTATGGCCCTGAGAGAATCTTAGAAGGAAAGGTTTTGAGTTGGGGCTCTGGCTGAGAAAGCCTTGGGACTATAAGTAAGGAAACTGTTGCTGGGTGCTTGATTTCTCTCTTTATCCAGAAAATGGATTCTTGTAAATAAAAAGAATGAAAAATAACTCCATCATTAATTTCTCCTTCTAACTGAATTTTGGCTGGCTGGTTCTACAAACCCTGTATTTTGGCTACCTGGTCATGTCAAAGAGGGAAATGCTATCCTTACTCAGCAGTCTTAGAACAAATTTTGAAATATCTTACCAAGGTTTGTCTTTTTGAAATAAACAAACAAAAGCAGATGTGCTCCTGGTCAAGTGTCTACATGAGTGCTACTGTGCCATTACTAATTTAAAGTAAATTTGCTACTTGCATTTGCAGGTAGCAAATTTACTCATGATTAGCAAGGTTTACTGAGTAGTAAGCATGTGCACATGTAGACACACATGCTTACTTCATAGTAAATTATGCTACTGCCATTTGTGTAGACACACCCACTGCCAATCAAAAAACTGCTGTCATCACTGAATGTCAAATCAAAATATATCCAAAGTTTAAGCACTCTTTGCTTTTTTATGTTTTAAAGGTGACTATGAAGGATGAAAAGCTGATAAAGGAAAATGTACCAGCTGTAAATTGTTCTTTACAACCAATTTAAACTATTCATATGCATAAATAAATTTAAGTTTAAATTTTCTATGGTTATTTCCAAGAGATATAGTGTTAAGCATTTCTTTATCCATAGGATTAAACAAATCTTTAAATTGTGCAGTCTACTCTGATCATGAGCCCTTGAATGACTCATTACTTTTATGTAACTTGCACAGATTTGTACACTGTTCTTGACAATGCCTCTGAGAAATTTCATAGGACAAATTATTCAGTAAAGTGAAATACTCCCAACAGGTTTTTTTTAGCTATTAGGTTGACTACATAATATGTCCCAACTGCAGATGCAGAAAAAAATTAATGACTGAGGAATTTCTTTGCTGATGGGATGAATATCTATTTCTCTGTTTTCCTCTCATGCTTTCTGAGCAGTGCACTGATTCCATCCATCTTGAACAGGGAGAAGACCCCCTAGTTCTTATGTGATGTCTCAAGGTCAGTTTAGGGTTTGACTATTTAAACTGGATACTTAGTTGTTCCTCAGCCAGGTATCCAATTCCACTTTTGTAACTTTTCGAACTCCAGATACCCCAAAGAAAAGAGCAACGAAAAAAGAAGAAAGAATTGAAGTTGTGCTGTGGGGTTCAAGGGAGGTGAAAATTACAAGTAATGTATCTTTCACAATCCATTTCCCTCTAAAATAAGATTTGTTTTCTTCTAATACTCTTAAAAAATTACTCTATTCTGAAAGTGCCCACACTGTTCTAGTGGCGAATATAGAAAACAGAAGTCCTTTAATTCATCTGAAGAGTCCAAGTAGAACTCTGTAGGTCTTTCACATCCATGTTTTATAAAAAGCTTGTTCAAAATTAAACAAAAATTATTCTCAAAGCCATCATAAAATTGAATGGGTATTGTTTTGCTCTAATTGTCTATAGAATCAATTGTTAATGGTAGCAACACTGCATGTAATACAAGGACAGTCAAGTGAATGTGAGAGAAGACTCTTTAAAGGAAGCACATTAGGTTGCTGTAAATTAAAAAAAATATTCATGGAAACACTATATAACTCCATGAAGAAAAAGAAATGATTTAACTGAAAAAAAATTAATTCAAGAAATTGTAGCAGCATCAGCTTACCGGTAGTCTGTGTGTTTTGAGATTTGAAGAGGCCAACCACTCCCTTTCCATAAAAGCCCCCAGCACGAAGGAGGAGACTACTGGTTTTTGAGCTTTTCCAACAGACAACTGGTAGGCGATTGTGACGATAACAACGAGCTACTCTCTGCAAGCTGCTGTCCTGCACAGACTGAGGTACTACCAGAAGCCCAGGATAGCTGTATGAATCATGGGGGAAAAAATTAAACAGAGAAACTTATTTGCAAAGAAATCTTTCCTTCTAGCTCTATGTTACTGCAATTGTCTTGGTATCTGTACTTTCATCCAATGTCTCTTAAAAAACAATCTTTTTATTTCTAATATAAAACAGTCCTGGCTAATATTTTAATTAGCTGAAAAGTGCTCAGGAATTTTTAAAAAACAACCGTCTTCGGCAATAATTTCAAAGACCATTTCTTCCTTTTCTCTTTCCTTTATGGTCTTAATTTAATTGTTGACTCTTCTCCCTTCTAATTTTCTTTTAATATGTCATTTGAAAAGAGTCAGCTCTTTGAGAACGACCCAGAAAACAGAAGAGACCATTGGGACAATTAAAATAAAGCAGAACACAAATTATTTTCATATTTGACCACATTGATAGTATATAGACACTGCCATTTTAAAAGCAAGAATGTTCAGATTCTGTAAATTAAAACATTGTAACCAAAAATCAACATTTTGGCACTGATGATAACTGATCCATGTCAATATGTTTTTAAATATTTTAGTAAGAAAGTTGTGGAATAGCCCATTACTGACTGCTAGTTATATAGTATTTTAAACAATATAAAACAAAGACAGCTTTCATGCTATCACTGCTTTGAAAGGCAAAATCTGACAAAAACATTGTCTCTGGTTATATAAATGAATAAGGATTCAAGCAATTTTTTTTCATCTTTCCTAAAAAGAAAATGCAATTGAAGTGTCAATTTTATGTTGACAGAAACTGAAAGTTAAGAATAGTACTTGGGAGATTTCAGGGGTTACTAAAGAATGCTTTTGCTTCTATAAAATACAATATTGGTTTTGCTTTGTAAGGAAGAGCAAAATCAGGATAAATGAAATCTTTTGAGATTTAATAAATATATTGCCATGGAGTGGACACAAAAGTGGTTATGATCTTTTCTTAAAAAATTAAAACCACGTGATATTAAATAACCAATCAGATCCTGCAATTTGTGAACAAAATAGACAATGATCACACTTCCAAAACTAGTGACAAAAATGTAAGATATGTTTTTAAGGCATAATTAAAGCAAAGCATGGATTTATTTGCCTCAATTTGCATCACATTCACTAGTGATTGAACAAAAATGCTGCTATTAGATTGTTACTTTGGACAAAAGCAAACAGATTGGATTTAATATTCTTTTGTGCCTTCCCCATGAAAATACTGGCAATTTCATTTTCTGTAATTAAAACAGCTGTTTGCTTGTGTTGGCTTTAGGAGATGCAAGTGCTCCTATAATGTGACTTCTGCACATCTGCTGCTGTGTTCAACAGCATTTTTGTGGAGAGTGGTAGTTAGGGTGACCATATATACTGGTTTAGCTGGGACAGTTACGGATTTCAGAGGCAGGTCCTGGCCAGCTGTTGAGAATTATAATGGCGTCCTGGAAATGCAGGGGCACAGGGTACTGTCTGGCAGGGAGCTGGAGAGACACTGTTGCCTGCCTGGAATGCAGCCCCACCTCCACTGACTTGGGAGAGCACTGGGGGGCGGGGGTGGAAGTGGTATCCCATTTCCATATGGCCAGCCTCATGATAGTAAATCTCAACGAACTTTCACAATTAAAAAAGGCTTATGAATTCTCTTCTTAATAATATTAATTCGTTCACATGCCATATGTAGCTTTTAGCATTTGTGATGAACATTTTCTAAAAACTCTGACAACCGATTCATTTGCTTGCTTTTGGTTTGAACTAAATAATTAAATATACATGTTTCTAGTGCTTGCTCTCCAGCTCATGAACAGGAGTTTTATGTAAGCTCCAGTAATATTAAAGTGAACTGATTGTACATATCTACCATAACCTGATAGGAAAATAGACCCTTAAAGTATATAAATTCAACTTTTTAATATAAAAAATGGAAATTATAGATCTATAAAACACATGTATTAGTAGCTCAATATGCAATGATGCAAACAACTAAAGACAGAGAATCGCTGCTATGATAATTTTAAGTGATCTATTACCAGTTTTTAGGTCACAAATTTGAAGAGAAGTACAATTTCCACAAAATAAGCTCTCTGAATTGATGAATCACGTTATATGGACTGCAAGTGCTGTGTAATACAGCATGTGTTTTTGTAAATACAAAAACAAATTGGTGAACTCACCTTCTGCAAAGTGAATACATCCTGTTCAATGCAGTTATTTTTAAATACTCTGTTTTTGAGCGAGAAGAACTACTACTGATGGTTCCAAGCCCCAAACGCTGGTAGTCTCTAAAACAGGCTCTTTCTACTAACTGCTCCATTGTTGATTTCTCTGAGGCTTTTAAAGTACCACTTGTGTGCAATTCACTGTCATCTGAAACTTAAGAAGTTAAGATAGTATGGTAGCTTAGTATTAAGACACTCAGTAGTAGTTACATAAAAACTTACTGGCTTCATTCTGAGTAAAATATGAACTTTATCCTATCAGCAATAGCCAATAGTGGGGGCGTATAATGATAAACATCATATTATACAGGTCATAAACTATAGTAAAGTAACTTAAGCTAAAGTTTACCTATGCTAGAACTGGTGGAAGGAAGTATACATAAAGCAGAAGCACCTTGAAAAGGTTACCAGTGACTTTGCATTCAAATACTATCCAAGACTTAAGCAGTTCTACTTACCTCCAAGCAAAAGTGAGCCAGAATAATTTCAAGCCAGTAGTTCAATTTAATCTACAGCACTGGGAAAGTCAACATAGGATCTTTACTATTCATGTGCATCTAACCTCCCTAGCCAAGGCAGGTGGAATGATGGCCATTCTAGAAGGAAAGGCATCTGTCTGTCTCCCAACTAAGAAAAGAAAGAATTTGCCATGATGGGTCAGACTTGAAGACCATCTGGTCCAGTCTCTGATCTAAGACTCTTCAGAGGAAAGCATGAGACTCCAGCTGTAGACTGATGTATGTTGACTTGCTCCAACATTGTATGTTGTACTCCAACATTAGATTTAATCTCCATCAGTCACAGAGATTGAGTTAAGCCCTGACGCACAAAATTTAATGTTCCTTCCACAAAGTCTGTCATTGCTAACAACAACGGTAGATGTAACAGATAGTCGTATAAACATCCAATCCTTTAAAAATTTTTTTCAGGTTCCTGACTTCAATAACTTCAGCAGCAAACTTCACATTGAGTTCTATGGTCCTCCTTCATATCCTTCCCCCCTACCCAACATTCTCACCTTCCTCCCTTTATCATCAACCAAAATAATTAAACTCTGAACAGAATAACGTACCCTTTGCTGAATGGGACACATATCTAAAAGATGCACTTACTAGAAACATAAATTGAACCTAAATATATCCTGTGTTTGTTAGCAGAATTTGTGGCTTGAAGGTTGGCTGGGATGACTGACATCGTCTACAGAATTTTGGAATTTCCTTTGCATTCACCTGAGCTGAATTGATGAGTATATTTCTTCTAGCTGGGTATTTATTTATGAAAAAACTGATATATTCACAGTATAAAAGGGGTAGTGCATACAATGGGTGGACACACTATTGGTAATAAACGATATCTGTATAAATGCCTTAGCTAGAAAGAAATAGATTCCATGCTTTCTTTTTAACTATCTTAATAAGCTGTGTTCATGTGTTTAAGTATTAGCCCACGGAATTAATGCCTTTCATACTATGTTTTAACAACAGATAATCTTATTTATTTATTTTTAATGCTCAAGTATCAGGGTGCCTATACGCAAGCAGGGACACTGCTCTGATGTGTTCAGAGCAGACTCAATTAATCTACAACACTCCATTAATAGAATATGCTGGAGTATGGCAACTACTGCACTTCAGCAGCCTCCCATGTCTTGTGTATCAGTGTCCCTGCACTTAAAAAATGGCAGCTGTGGTGCATTATCTAAACCTCATTGAATGATCTTTAGATAAAATGCCCCCAACACCATTTTGAAGTGTGGGGATGCTGATACACGAGACATTGCAGACACTTTAATTAGAGCATCTCTCAGAGCTGCTCCAACCCCCCACTTCCAGAGCACGTGTATAATCGCCTTCAGTGTCAAACAACAGCCTTCTTCAGCATAGTATTTCTATCAACTGTACTTTCCAAACCTGGAAAAAAGATAGCCATGAAAGGTGAAAAGTCTGTTACAAGCGTGAGTTGCAATGAAATTCAAGGCAGGCATGCTCTTTATAAAAAAATTTGCTACCTGCCCATTATCACTATTTTACTTAAGCCTTTCCAAAATATGTCTGCAGGCAGATTTATTATTCATTCTATTAGTTCCCTGAGACTTTTTGATTTTATCTTTATAAAACGTGTGTGCATATAAGCAGAATTATTTTTATATGAATGCTGGAGGAAAGGTACTGGGGAAAAATGTACATATTTCAAATTTTAAGAAGTTTAACAAATTAAAATGTTATACGGAGACATAACTTCCATGATAGAAACGTGAATTCCATTCATTCAGGCAGCTGTTCTAGTATATGGTGCTTAACAGACTGCTTTTTGCTCCTAATACACTCCAAGCCAAAATAACCTACACCATATTTAATCTAAAACTCTAAACAGAGTTTTACATCAGATACCTCCCTTTTCTTTGTTATGTTTATATACTTGTCAAAGAAAGAAAAGTGACAAGTGTTTTCTAGGTAATAAAAGTGTACTAAAAGCAAAAAGCTATATGGGCTTTAGAAATATTTTTTCACATCTTTAAGAACCAACTCAATATTTTACATTTCTGAATGGAAAGCAATAGTTACTTATCTACAGTAACTGTCTACAGTAATTATTTTAGATGTGTTGACTAGAGGCATTCCAACTCTGGTGTCCATGCACCTTATGCTTTTGAGTTGGAGGGGACTAGTGGTGATGGTGCTCAACCCCTGGGCTCTGGAGCTGTACAAAAGTAGAATTGGAGCTGCTCTTTGCCCCTACAGTTGAACTGGCAGGAGAGTAGGGAGATGAGGGGAAGGACTAAGGGCAATAATGCGCACCACTGACAAGCTGGTAAGCTCAGAGCTCATAGCATACAGGGTGCTCCAGCAGGTGCTGGTCTGACATGCCAGTGAGCTCAGAGAGCCTATGGGTATCCAAGATCATGGTGGGGTGGCACATGTGCAGTGAGCTCTCTTCACTGTGTATGTGCCACACTGCCAAAGGGGGTGGGGTCAACCACCCTTACAGCAATCTTAGATCTTCCCATGTAGGACTGTATGCAACTTCTTATGTCTCCTGAAAGGTAATGACCATCTCAAGACAGCCTTGGAGACAAGTCTGTCCTTGTTTATAGGCAGCACCCCAACCTCAAATGACAGCTCTCCAGCAATAACCTACTCTAACTCCAATTCTCACTAAACCACTAGGCTTTGCTATAGACCTAGATGCCAGCAGTGCCTCTTCATCAACACAGACCACATCATCCCTGCACCAAAGAACAAAGATTATAACATCTAGGTTCATGCACCTGCTCCTCTACCAATGTCATACATGTGATCACCTGCTTACAGAGATCCTCTACTACCTATGTTGGATAGAAGGGTCAATCCCTACATAAAAGATCAAACAGAGTGATCTAACATCAATTCCAGAGATACAAAAACCTGTGACAGAAGACTTTAACCTCCCTGGAAAGTCCACCATTATGTAGCTGTTCTTAAAAACAAAACTTTAAAAACCAAACTTGAATGCAAAATTGCAGAAGGAGAACTCATCCATAGACTGGACTGTGTAAAGTATGTAAGTATTGACAGAGACTCTGAATTCTTATCCCATTGCCTGGACTAGCTTTTATAACTCTTGTGTCTGTCAGTGGGTTAACTGTTTTCATTCTCTTCAACCCGCCTTTGCCTCTTTCAGTAGTACCCCCTCTCCCCATCCTTTTCTCCCCCTTTCCCTATTTTTTGTATTTAAATTACTTTATTCGTTTCTGAGAATGAATCCTTTGTATTTAAATTACTTTATTCATTCTGAAAATACAACATTCATTCATTTCCTGCTCTCTGCAGATCCATTCACAGCATCTGATGAAGTAGTTTGTTGCCTATGAATATTTTTGCCTCTATGACTAAGTCAGTCTCTAAGGGCATATTCCCACATGCAGGGGCAGGAGGTTGCTGCAGCAAAAATAGCAGTGGCACAAATCTGTGCTGCTGCGCATGCCCCTGTAGGTACGGTTGGTGTGGGACAAATTGTCCAGGGTGGGGTAGGAGAGGCTGGGGCCAGCAATCATGCTGGCCCCAGCAGCCTTACCTGTGGTTCTGGGGGCCTCCTGGGGCAGCAGTGATGGTGATACAGCTGCTCAGAGCCTGGCTGACAGCAGAGTGTGGTTCTGGCCAGCCAGGCTCTGGTTTTTGGCGGTACACTCTGCTGCTGCGTGTGCCACACTGCTTTTTCAGTGGTGGTTCTTTTTTTGACACCAGGATCTCCCAGTGTCAACCCCCGCCCCTGCTGTGTTGCTAATTAGCACGGCAAATGCTTGCACGTGTCACATGCAGTTTGCAGTGCCTCACACTGCTTTGAGCTGCTGCAAACCACACATGCACACTCATGGGGGCATACCCTAAGATGCCATGCTGCTCTACCTTTGGCTAGGGCCCTGAAGCAGACAGGAGTTCAGATTAGGGAATATATGAGAGCACCACATCTTGAAGAAAGAAAGTTTACCTATCCTACCACAAGTGTAGCTCTTTGAGATATTGTGATAAATGTGCAAATACCCCTTCACTGGTCAAGCTCTGAATATCAATATGCATCTGTGCCAAGCATACACCCATTTTTCTTTGTGCTTCTGTATGACAACATAAAGGCTAGAATAGCTACAATCTTCTCTTAGAATTAAGAGCTCATTGTAGCTCAGGACTCTAAAAGAGCAGATAGAGGGAAGGTCACACCTTCCACTTGAACTAAAGCATTTCAGAAAAAAACAACTGCTACAGATAGAGAACTGATGGGTGGCAGTTTAGAGACTAACTGGTTCAGAGAGGCATACGTTTTTGCAGGCCACAGCATTTGATGAAGTAGGCTGTCACATATGAAAGCTTATGCCTCTCTGAACCAGTTAGTCTTTAAGCTGCCACCCTGCCCTGTCTTCTGCCTGACAACCTTTAATTTATGGAATGAGATATATTGGGCATTCTGCCATGAGAACCTGAAACTCACCCACTCTTCTGGCTGAAGTGATAACTACCAGAAAGAGAGTACTGAATAAGATGGAGCACTCATAATAGGATACTGAAGCCCCTGCTCGTTCTTTAACCAGAGGATAGAGCCTACATTAGTCCTGTAAGATATTTCAACACCCTTGAATGAGTGATTGTCTTTGTGGATGACATGAAAATATTGCTGCCAGAT